AAATCAATGAGCCCACTGCTAACACAACAACAACACTGCTTTGTACCATGCAGTACCGCTAACAGCACGAGTCATGTGTGAATAGAAAAACTATACATCTCGAATTGCATGCCTTTCAAAGCCACACGACGATGCGTTTCCTCATCATCAAAGTTATCAATCATGACCTCACCCATGACAGCGACATACCACTCGTCTGTGACAACCATCGATACGACACCAAAGCTGTTGAAGACATCGCTAGTGAGCAATACACTAGCCGATATGAAATCAACCACCACAACAGCGAACGATGCCGTGGGCGTTGCTGACAGCCTCGTTGAATCGTCAAGTTGTTGACAGACACATGCTAATCCATCTGAGCCTTCGGGTAGGAAACTCATCTGAACAGCACCTCGCAAACGCATAGTTAACATTTTCCCCTTAGGCTCATCGTTATGCATCCGACGATAATAGCATTCAACTTCTCCCGAGCTCGGGTATTGCAGCAGTTGGATTCTCCCGATGCTATCGTGACTCAATGCAACATCAGCAACAGTAGTGTTGACCCTTGCCAGATCAAAAACGAACTGCCACTCGCTCCCTCGTGCTTTGTACATACGATGGTCGTCCGCAGACAACAGCACCAGGTCTTCACCTAGTGACCAGACGCCTCCGATTTTACGGCAATTAGGAGGGGGTCGAATTAGCTCAGAAAAATTAGTATGTAGTGATGCTCGAAAAAGGCGATTGCCGTATATCGAAACGTAGTAGAAGTAATGAGAATGAAAACACACTAATGATGGTGTATGAATAACTTCACCACAACTTGGTAATAGTGTTCGTGTGATCGGTACTTTTTCTATCGTGTGAATTCCCGTAGGGTCGTCCGGTGAGCAAACAACTCCGATAGATTTCCCATCGCTCAGTTTGAAGAGATAGGGCATAGGGGCGGGAAAGGTGGAGTTTAACGATATCTTTTCGTTAACCAAGTTTATGTTTTTAGGCATCCGCTGACGTAAAAATGCCAGTATTGATTCCTTCACATCATCGCATATGTTTTCCATAGACCACAAGCGGTGAAGTTGCAGCATAAAAGTTTGACTATAAGTCTTCGACACCGACACGGACATTTCCAAAACTGTGTGTCGTCGAGTTGTCTCGAAGTGCTACTACTGATGACGCAACAGACGATTGCATTCCGAAATTCGGAAATGCTGATGTTAGTCACAAACACGAGTAACTGAAGGCATTCGAGAAACGTTACTGGTGATCGAATGCATCTGACTTCGACAACCGTGTGAAGGGTAAATTGAGTTTTGCAAGTTTTGGTCGATTTACAAGACTTCATCCTAACTGATGCATCAGTACTGCGAATGGGTGTTTTCATCATGTTGTCTGCTATATTAACAGCAACAATGAGATAAAGGCGATAGTTTATCATCATATGTGTGTTCATTAAGATTAGTCTATTTGAGCTTCGCTCACTGAGCGAATCGGATGAAAATCGATCATCAGGGCGAGCGCTACTCGCTCATGGCACGCGTGTCACTTGTGCTGCGTTTCGAACTCACACATCTCTTACGAGTGGCAATCTATGAACTGTTAAAGGGCAAGTCATGTGGTTGCCCTATACGATGACTATCAATGCATCTGACCTTCGGAAAAGTCGGTATGAAAAAAAATGAGTTAAATCGTCGCTGAGTTGACGTTCCTGTCTCTGTGTGGGATACACCACCAACGCTCAAAGCCGTCTAGCACCACAAGGCCCTCTAAAACGAACTACTCTATTTCTCTACATTCACGATGCCGTACTGTTACGTTTTCCCGAGTTTGCTTTCTTCGATTGATCATTATCTAATCGCTAAGTCCTTCCACACGGCGTTCACGTGAGTAAATCGCCCTCACGCGCCGCGCACGCATATTCCTACAAAGTTCATCATCATCGTGTAGTTTTTCCACCTTATTTTTTCCTCACCTTTTATATGTCGAAAGCAAGCAATACTGTCCGAGGTGTATTCGAGCCTCCACCGAAACCGTATTCCTGGACTGACCGCTCAGGCAATGTCTACCACTACTTCGAACGGCCTCTCCTAAATGCTTGTGGATTCATTCTACTGCAAGAGTTCTGCGAACGCCTCGCTTTTTACGGTATCATACCAAATCTTCAGCTTTTCCTCAAGGAGTACCTAGGCTACACTGATAGCGCCGCCGACTCCTACGTCTCGATCTTCAACGCCGTACTGTACATAACCCCACTTTTCGCCGGTATCATCGCTGACACACTGTTAGGTGTATACCTCACCATTGTCACCTTCTCTTCCCTATACATGATCGGGCTGGTTCTGCTAACTTTATCGGCCATCAAGTCGATCAGTCAAGCCTGGATGGTCCATCTCTCTCTGCTGGTGTTGATAACAGTGGGAGCCGGTGGCATCAAGGCTTGTGTTAACGTCATGGGCGCACAGCAGATGCATCCTGAACACCACAAGGCTGATATCACTCGCTTTTTCACTTACTTTTATGCCTCGATCAACTTGGGTGGTATTATAGGTTGCATTGCCGCGCCTATTATTGTACAAGAACTGTCCTTCGCGGCGAGTTTTGTATTCCCACTCATTTTTTTCGTCATTGCCACAACGATCTTCGTGGTCGGCGACTTCCTCCACCGCTATGTTAAAGCCAAGCCTCAAGGCTCAGCCGTCCTGCAAGTTGGTAAAGTGGCGATTTACTCTGTGTTTAAATGCTCATTAGAGAAAAACAAAAAGAGTAAAGGCGGCAGATTCGAAGATGAGTTCATTGAAGACGCCCGAGTATTTTTCCGACTCATACCACTCTTCGTTCTCATCGTCCCCTTCGTTATGGCCTATAACAACATGACCACAACTTTCCTCACACAAGGCCTTAAGATGGATCGCAACACCTTCGGGTGGAACATGCCTGCTGCCCTAATGCAGAACGTGGATCCTATAGCGGTTATTGCGACTTCAGTCATCGTAGATAGTGTGGTTTTCCCTTTCCTTAGAAAGCGTAATATAATGCCATCAGCATTAGTTCGCTTTTGCATTGGTTCTCTCTTTGCCGCTTTAGCGTTGGTCTGTGCGCTAATTGTGGAGTATGTGGTCATGTCGCATCACCGTTCACGATATCTATTTGGTGGCA